AGCTTGTTGTGGCTAGTTATTATACTTTTAGTTTTTTCTTCTTATTAATGAATCTACGATAGGCCCTCCTCTCTCTAACACTCGCCCGAGCACTACTACTACTTCTACTAAATACTACTTCATAGGCTGTCTGCGGATAACTACCAAATTTTCTAACTACTAAAAGAACTCTACTGAGTTAAAAATGTTACAAAAATAATAATCTGAGACTGAAAACCTGTCTCCGTGTATGTTTTAAAACCATATTTACATTCATTTATTATAAGAAAAAAAAACTATAAAACGTAAACAGCTAGGTAAGGTTGCGGGTTGCGGTCTACTCTTCGAGAGTATTAATTGGAATTATATCCACTAATTTTTTCATGTGACCTCACCTCAAAAAATCACATGGATTTAAAACTGGTGATCGTGGTGGCCATGCAACTGAACCTTGGCCCCCAATAATCCATCTCTTGGGAAAACGGTTATTTTCACGTTCAACATTCAGTACAAATAATTACACCTAACAAGGACAAAGAGACACACTGAACGACTCGTGAAAATCAAGTGGGGGAAAATGCAAGAAAGAATTTTAGAGACAAAATTTCTTTGGTCTTCAAATTAACGAATTATTTTAGTGGTTACCGGATCTACTAGTTATCAGCAAACACTCTGTATTGTTTTGTGGTTAATGATTACACCAGAACTTAATTAAGATTTGAGACGCATACTTCAAATCAAATCTCTTTATAAGTCCATATATTCCAGGTTATAGGAAATGGCGCCAGGTTGGCGATGGACGAATGCCAACATCAATTTAGGAATAGTAGATGGAATTGTACAGCGTTTCCCGAAAAAAATGTAACGTTTGGAAATGTGATCACAATTAGTAAGACAAAAAAAAATGTAGCGACGCATTTTTACAAACAAAAAACATTGCAGGAAGTAGAGAAGCTGCGTACTTATCAGCAGTATCAGCAGCAAGCGTAGCTTTCGCAGTGACGCGAGCGTGTTCGAAAGGAGATTTAACAGACTGTTCCTGCGACACAAGAATCCGCCAGAAAAAATCGCACAAATGGAAGTGGGGCGGCTGTTCCGAAGACATCAAATACGGAGAGAAATTTAGCCGGGAATTTTTAGATTCGAAAGAGGATGCCAACACAGCAAATGGACTCATGAATCTTCACAACAACGAAGCAGGAAGAAGAGTTAGTTCAGATGTTCAAAACTAGTTGACTCGATTGTAATTTCTACTTTTGTAGGGTGTTAAATCGAGGATGGTTCGTACTTGTAAATGCCACGGAGTGTCTGGTTCTTGCAGTATGCAGATTTGCTGGAGGCGTCTTCCGCCTTTTCGACAGGTCGGTGAGGCTCTTTTCCAAAGATACGAAGGGGCTTCTCATGTGAAATTCGTCGAGAGGAAGTGGAGGAAGAAACTGAAAGCTGTCAGTCCGGATCTGAAAAAACCTAACAAAACGGATCTAGTGTATCTGGATGATTCTCCCGATTATTGCGAGAAAAATGAAACGTAAGTTCGTTTGTAGCTTGGTATTCGTAAGCGGAAAACTAAAAGGTCTTTGTAAAGTATGTACGTTAATGTCGGTTGATATTAAAATATCTACTAGTCACTGAAAAACAACGTTTTTAGTAAAATGTTAATTGAAATTTAAGAAGAGGTTGTTTTAGGCTCAGTATTTTGGGAACTCATGGTAGAATATGCAATCGGACCAGTCAAGGAATTGACGGTTGCAGATTGCTTTGTTGTGGCAGAGGCTACCAAACGAGAGTCCGCGAAGTCGAAGAAAAATGCAAGTGCCACTTCGTGTGGTGCTGCAACGTTGTCTGTGACATTTGCAGGTATAGGAGAGAAGAACACGTTTGCAACTAGACTATGAACTGACGATCGACTGAAGATACCGAAGACTACGACATTATACTCAGAAAACGTCCTCATCTTATTAACATGATAACAAAGAGAGAACTCTTCATTTTCCATTTTTCAAACTGTAGATAATTGTAATAACTCGTTTTCTCAAAATTTGTCTGTTTAGAATTAGATGGTAGACGTTTTATACAATTTTAGAATCCAAAAAATCGTAGACATTCGTTGCAATTTTCTCAACCTCACGACTGCTTCGACCATTCTCATCCAATAATTGTATCATCACGTTGTATATTTATTTATGTGTTTGCACCTAGTACATAAAATAATTTTAATAATGTGAAATGTATTGAGATTTATATAGATCTGTACATAGATTTTTAATATATTTATTAGGTACTTAACTGTAGTAAAGCTAAGTTCATTGTACATAGTAACATAGTTAATTTAAACATAAACGTAATTTATGTCGTGTTCAATCAAAATATTAAAACAAGCTCATCTATGAACTACTCTGGTGATAAAATTTATTTTTCCAGTGTATTACATGTGCCATAAAATCCATTCGATCCGTCGATTTATCTTATAAACTCTTTTGTCTCTACTGTGTTTACAAAAATCAATACCGTAAGAAATTATTATTAATAAACTCTTTGTGTACAAATAATTATTGGCGATTTATTTTTTTTCAAACCCTACACAATGAATCACTTATTTTCTTGTCTAAAATATTAGTTTAGTTTTAATTCAACTACCTAGAATAGAAAAATTAAAAACATCGCATACTTAAACAAAGGTTGGAGGTAATAAATAATATCGGGTGTGTTGCAAAGGCTAGACAGGCTTGAGACATAATGGGTGAATAAAAAGTATGGAACCAAGCGTTTTTTCATAAACTAATTATATGTACTTTACGAAAATAGTATATTAAAGTACAAGTTGGAGAAGGTATCTATTCAAGCACAAATCTGGAATTCCGAAACGAGCCGCGTAGCGGCGAGTTGAGGAACAAATGAGTGCTTGAAGAGTCTTCTGCAACAAGTGCTTTATACTATTTTTCCCATTTTGCCGCTTTATATCATTTTATAAATTAAATACGAAAAGTTTTTTTTTCTAGAGAATTTTGCGACGGTTGGCGACATTTATGTGGAATAATTTTTAGGCGGCTGTAAAAAATAAAAAATATTCTTATTTTCACATTTGAAAATAAATTGTGAAGAAAGTCCGTCACTAAAATTAAATTAACACCAGCGACTTATTCCAGCACTCAAATGACTCTTATGTTACCGTTAAAATACGTTTCATCTATAAAGTACGTCGTCAATATCAACGTATCTCATGCAGTGGCGTAACTAGAAAATTTGGGCCCCCCCGCGAAAGACGTCTGTTGGGCCCCTTTCTTCTCTGGTTTCGGAGAAGAGAGTAGTATAAAGTATAAAAAGAAACTAAAAAATGCAATCCTTGTAGATTATACATACAGGGTGTCAATTTTAAAACTTGCAATCGGCAAAATCTCTAGAACTAAAAAAATTATTGAGAATCACTCAACTGTGGTGGTTTTTAGGGGAAATCAAAATGGCATGGTAAGTGACGCTCCTCCACCCACCCTTCAAGCCACAGCCACCTTAAGTTGAAAATTTTAAATGGCACGATTCTACTTGCGATACATCGTTGGAAAGCCCATAACAAGAGCTTTTCAAAAATGTCATACAACAGCCTATTTGGTAAAGCCATTTTTCCAATTATTCAAAAACGAAGACGTTAAATTTTCATTTTTTTTATTATATTCAAGAGTGGGTGGAGGTGTGTCACTTATCATGTCAATTAAATTCGCCCTACGAACCACCAAAACGGTTTTGAGTGATTATTAATAACTTTTTCAGTTGAGAGAAATTGCCGATTGCAAGTTTTAAAATTGACACAGTGTATACATAGTATGTATATTTTATTTCGCTAACGAACAATAATTCTCAAAGAAACAATAGTAGAACAATTTAACAAAACAAATAACAATAAAAAAAATTATAAGCAATAATAGCAGAGTAACAAAATTTCAGCTCACGTTTACTTAGGTAATTTGTTTTTTCTTTGCTTTTAAATTTGCAAAATTTTGGATAACATTGTCCATGTTTAGTTTTTAAGCGACATCGTATTCTATTGACAAAATGGACAAATTTGTAAGCCTTTTTTGGTTCATAGAGTTCCGTAAATAATTTTTATTAATTTTAATTTAGAAAAGGATATCTCCGCTGATGTGACGGTGACAGTAATACAGTAAAAATACAGTAAAGAAGAAAAATTCTGCAGTTTTTTGTTTTTTATTGCATTGGCTTATAATAATTGATGTACACCCTTTAAATTTTTTTAAACTATTACTATTATTATTATTATTATTATTATTATGGAAAGGGTCCTTTATCCCAAGGGCCCCCCGCGGCCGCGGGCTTTGGCGGGTGGGTAGTTACGCCACTGATCTCATGAGTCCATAATGTACGTCGATGCATTTTTGGATCCGAAAACGTATGTCTTTTGCATATGAAACGTCAAATCACGGCTTCCTTGATTAATGAAGGAAGTTTCCCTTCACCCGGCTAGTCGCATTCATTAGTTCCGTGTCTTTTTTTTGGTTTCGAGAGGGAGCCACATTAATGTACAAGATTTTGACAGTTAATAAGGTTATGTGCTGTCACACTCCTGTCAGTGGAAAGCAAAAAGGCGTTAGTACATTTATAAAAACGTAATTTGGCCACATTTCGCTTGTGTATAATGCCATTAGGAATTAAATACGCACGTCACAATCTCACACTAATGATTTTTTCGAAAAGTAAATAATTTCCTGATATGTGGCTATCTGGTAAAGGTGGTTTCATTTTCTTTTATTTGAATATTAACCATTAATTCTAATAATTGAAGATTGTACTAGAGTAATGTGTATTGTGCCGTATTAAATCCCTGACAATTATAAGTGAATAAACCTGCAAGAGTGCAACAGCTTGTTAGAATACAGTGCACAACCAATACGTTCAAGGTCTTTTAGGCCCGTAGGGGGGTTATAAGATAAAGAAGTAAACGCATTTTGTACAAATTTGAAAATTTAATTTACTTTCAAAATTTTTAGTTTTTTTGAATAAATATAACTTTTTTTCCTAGTACTTTGTGTGTAGAGATTGCAAAAATTTGCCAACGATAATGCCGCAGACACTGCGATGTTCCTCACAGGAGAATATGGGATTTTCATTTAAATATGAAACAATTATTGTTTTCAAAATGTAGTCTACATCTTGCGTAGGCACACTGGGTATTATTTCCAAAATCACTCCTATGACATAATGAATTAACGCAATAAACTTTTCAGATGAATATCTGAGCTTTCCTCTGTCTTGATTATAAATTAATTCCAAGAGGGGACTTGTTTTTGACTCAAAATAATTGGTTAAGGGTATTAGACAAGCAGTACATTTTACAGTCTCCTCAACTTTTCTTAACAAATATCCACAGAGAAATCCAATTTCTAACTTAAATTTCAAATAATTACGACGTTTGGCGCGTGATTTTGGTAACTATGGTAACAAGAAAAGTTTTCGGAAGAAATTAAAGATGGCGATACATTAGAGTACGCTGTCAGAACCAAGGATGGTAAACTGATAGAGGATTGCTCAGGTGCACGAATTTGTCCGCCACGGATGACGCTGTGAGTGACGTCACGTCTAGCCCAGCGCTCAACGAATGGAAGTGCGCTGCTAAAGCGATTCCAATTTTTGGATAATGATAGTGATAATTAACGCAATAATACATTAACCCATTCTAACTGTTTTACACGGTTAACAAAAATGTAAAGAAAAGAAATAAAATTTATATTTTTAAACGCATAAAGATACAAAAAAAAACTAGTTAACAATTTTCGACATTTTTCGTTTTTTTCTGCGGCTTTCATTTACTCCAGTTATTTTTCGTTTTGAAGAGCCTTGTTTCTCCTCTTGGTCTTTTTTGTTGCAGTAGTTCATGCGAATTATGACACGAAGTTTGCAAAAACTTTTAATGACTTCCACAGGAATATTGGAACGTTTTTTAATTTTTGCTGTTAATTTTTTTACGGTATCCGGCGTTGACTTAATTGTATCCTTTCCATGAACATGTTCAAAATATATGTTCCATTTTTTGATAATGTTTAACCATTCTGTAGTAGGTTTTATAAGTCCTCCATATGATAATTGTTGAACCCAAGAAGGCAAGTTATAATTATGTTCTTCCCCTTCTTTGTACGTAAAATCCCCAAAATTAAATATAGATAGAAGATTTTTGTGTTTCTTCAACAAATATCCTGTTATATATTCTAGAGCATCATGGGTTATCTCATATTTGGTAAAATCATCTTGTGACAGCGTGTCGGAGGCGCTTGATTCAAAAGACGTACTGCTTGATGGAATTAATTCTGATGTATCTGCTGTAAGATCTAATCCACAATTTAAAACCGAAGCTACTACGTACTCTTCTAAATTTGGAGATTGGTCTGTTGTGTTGGTTGACGTTTCCAGAATACCTGGATTTTTACCCAAAATAATGAGTCTAATCCTGTACATTGCTTCTAACGGAGATGGATGTTCGTTAGGACCTCTGCTTCTTATTTGGAAGAAAAAATTTTCCAATGAATCTTGGTTTAGTTTGTGGGTGCATAAATACCGTATATTGCAAAGATTTTTCATGTCATGAAATAGCAATTGTAGAGATTTGATACTCATTATGATACCTTTTTGAAAAGTCTGCAATGAATTCTTTCCGATCGGTAGCATTTCACAAATAATTTTTGAGACTTGATTTAAATAGGAATTTTGAGTCTCTAGGTCAACGCCGTATGCATTTTTTGTTGGAACGGTACCTTTCTCTCTATAACTGTTGAATATGTCGAACCATGTATTCATAACGCATATGAATTCACCAAAATTTTCGGCTTTTTTCTTGTCTAGTCCAGGTTTTTGCCTTATTAATGCACATCCAACTGTATTCGATATCAATTGGGCAGCCAAACGAATGTTCTGCCTTTGTGTATTTTGGCACAATATATGCTTGTCAGTCAGTTTGTAACAAGGATTGACTTCTTGCTTATTTAGTTCCAATAAACTTTCTAAAGGGGTTTTGTCAATTATAGTATTATCGTTTAATTGGAAACCTTTATCTAGTAACCAATTTCTCAAAAGTTTTAATAGATGAGGGGCATCGGCAAACATATAAACGTTGTTATTAGTCACAGGGTGTTGAAAAAATGTATTTTCATGATTAACATTTAGTTCACTCCATAATCCTACATTGCTACCACCACAGTCACTGACACACGCAAYCACACTGAAACTAATTTTGTGAAGTTCACTGATTACTTCCATTAAAATGTCTTTTGTCATTTTTTGATCAAAACCAAGATAAACTAGTTGCTTCCAGTTAGCAAATAAGCCTCGAGCCATTACAACTTGCATATAATTGTAAGGCCCAATGACCATGTCTTTTCTTGTATCGTATTCTCGCACATATTTTACTTTTACTTTGTCAAACTGAAGCACCATAGTTTTTTCGAATTCAGTCATGTTCTCACCGGCTAACTCAAGAAACATCAGAATGCTCTTACAAACTCCTTGGCTGATGTTTATATTTAGTGCCCAACGTCTTAATGTGGAGAGTCCAGGTAATGGATAATGCAATTTGTTTTTTAAATAAAGATAGCACTTTTTGCTATAGTACCTTAAAGTGAACGCAATTGCCATTTCCTCTTGGTTCCATTTTACCCACTTTCTTTTATTGCAAATAATCGCAATTTGATTTTTCGTAAAAACTGTTTTCAATAGATCTATTGATATTTGAGAACTTTTTCCACTACTTTTAGTGTCTTGTTTATTTCGATATTTACTTTTGTAATATTTAAGCTTATCGTTCATTAATTTAATTTTTTTCCTGCTTGCCAAATTGTTTTTTTCATGTTTTTCTTTCAACTCATTGTAATCTTTTAAAAGTTTTAAATATTTGATTTCAAAATTTTCTTCTTCAGTAGAAGTGTTGGGAACACAAATAGGGGACGTACTAATCGGTTCATTGGTATCTTCTTTTTCTTCAATAAGTTTTCGAATTTCTTTTTTTTGTTGCCTCTTTATTATTCGCTCGGTCCTAGTGATCCTAGCCTTTGTTTCATCGCTTGATAATTTAGATCCGGGCAGATGGAGTGAAGGAACGGCTGTTTTCTTCAGTTTTTTACGAAGAGGTAAGCCTGGATAACAATAAAATAAGTATTTTAAAAATTAAGKACCAATGCTATAAAATTTTATGAAATATTTCACGTTTACAACACCATCAATTATATTATCAAAGCCATTATAATGTATATTTGTGTTCTAAAAAAAATTCAAAAACAAGTTCTTATTCATTAAAGCACATGAATTTTCTCGACAGGAAAGTAGTAAAAAACTTATACACATATAAACCAACGACATGGATAAAAAACTGTTTCCTAAGTGTTCAACTGTTCGTAATAAAAAAGTTCGCACCTAATAATTCATGTTGCAAGTCCCGTTCGTAATCATTTTCTGTAAAGTGAACAGAACAAATAAAACTGGTGGCTGGATTCAATTTGTCGGCTCTCTTGCATCTTCTAACCCATTCTAAACGCAACGTTGACGAAACCATATCATTGTCTTTCGGAAAGGTATGATATATAATTTTTTCACTTCCTTTCCTAGTGATGACAAGGCTGTTATTACAGCCAAAAACGGCACATCTTGTCCCTGGCATTCTATACGAAAATATATAGGATAGATACCAGATAAAAATACCGCACAAATATAAGCAGCTATAAACTTAACAGAAAAACAATGCACCAGAGCAGCGGCGAGAACCGTGCAACAACTAGTCGAGGGCTAGACGTGACGTCATCCCAGAGTGGAGGTTGGCGTACATTGTAGCATAGCGCCTGAGCAATCCTCTATAGTTTTATCATCCTTGGTCAGAACTACTTTTTTTTTGCAATGCGACCAGCAGGGTGAAGGGAAACTTCCTTTATTAATCAAGGAAGCCGTGCGTCAAATAATTGAAGGGTAAAACGAAAAAAAAGGCTAGAATTAGTCGCCGACTTACTCGTATAACAATAGGACCGTTGTTTTTTGAAGTTAAATCATAAAATTAGTTATTAAAATCATCATTTTTTTTGATTATGCCATTGTACCTTACTTGTCATTTTATTTCACGTTTCACAGACATACGTTTTCGGATCCAAGGATAACTTGATAACTGATTACAAATTATCTTGATCTCTCTATACTTTACGCTACACAAATTATTTTTTTTGTGGTTAGTTTACGAAAAAAACTTATACACTGTGTCAATTTTAAAACTTGCAATCGGCAATTTCTCTCAACTGAAAAAGTTATTAATAATTTTTTTTGTGGTTTTTAGGGGGAATTAAAATGACAGGATAAGTGACACACCTCTACCCACCCTTGAATATAATAAAAAAAAAATAAAATTCAACGTCTTCGTTTTTGAATAATTGTAAAAATTGCTTTACCAAATAGGCTGTTGTATGACATTTTTTATTGTTATGGGCTTTCCAACGATGTATCGCAAGTAGGGTCGTGCCATTTAAAATTTTCAACTTAAGGTGGCTGTGGCTTGAAGGGTGGGTGGAGGAGCGTCACTTACCATGGCGTTTTGATTCCCCCTAAAAACCACCGAAACGGTTTTGAGTGATTCTCAATAACTTTTTTAGTTCTAGAGATATTGCCGATTGCAAGTTTTAAAATTGACACCCTGTATATGGTCATACTTATACAGAAAACGAGAGTACGTCCAAAGTAAACAGTTTTTTTTTATATTTTAATGCTTAATTAGAACGAAAGTTACCAATACACCTGGTTCAGAATAATGTTTTGTAGCTTTTGCTACACTACGAAAAAATATGTTCTTTGAGAATTGCCAAGGAATACTTGGTTTTTCAAAACTAAAATTTATGCCAAAATTTTTTTAACTATTTTTAAAATTCTTTAAAAATCTTTAACTAAGCAGAGCTAAACTTCAAAAAAATTATATTTAAAGCATTAAAGCAAACATTTTATTTCATTTACAAGAGTCGTTTTATCTACCTGGGGACACACTGTATGTTTTAGTGGTAAATATTTGAGAGTGTATTTTGGGTTGTGTTTAAAAATCGGTTAACGTCTTTATTCTATGTATATGACTCACCTTGTACGCCCCAAAAGAAATTCTGAAATACTTCCACTACTTCATTTTTTACTTCACCATTATTCGAGTTATAGTTCTGTTCTGTTCCCGCCTGAATAAGCAAAGCAAAAATAGGCAACACATTATACATTTAATAAATTATTTTGTGTAAAGTATTATCTATTCTAAATTGAATAATCATAGTCGATGCTTGACTATCGAAAACTTAAAAAAAAGTTAAATTCAAAACTCAAATGTATAATAATAGGAACAACAGCAAGAAATTAACAAATTATTGTATTATTGGTTGGCCTATTTGTGAAATTTAGGGACGAACAGACCTGCTGTAGATTTGAATACACTGGAAGCCGTGACACTGGCGGACACAGAATTTTCGACGATTTGTCATTCGACTGACATAAAAATGTAAAATGGGCCTTAGGCAACTAACTTCACTTTTGGTTTTTGTAATTTTTATCCTGAAGCTAGAGAAAAAATTACAACAAATCAAAATAATTTATTGAACTTATATAAAAAGACATTATTGTTTCGGAAAATCGATGCCAAAAATAAATTTCAACAAATTGAACTTTCAAATTGAATTCAAACGTCAATCATAATGACAATAAAGCGTGGCTTAACATTGACATTTTTTGAACTGACATAAATTTGATGTCCAAAATTCCGTATCCGTCAGTGAATGTACATTATTTTATGAGGCCATGGTTAAGAATGCAACTTTTCTTCAAACACCGCCACACGGCGCTTGTCGCCACCATCGTTTTTAAATTTAACGTCAACCTAACCTGAAAATCGTGAACGTTGTCCAATTTTTCAAAAATGTCTTTCAGTTTCGGTACCCCCAAAACGGCAACAGGCTTTACATTACCTACCACTAGCACAATTGCCAGTACGTAAAACATTTTGCTAACAGAAACGGAACTAACCCTTTTATTCTATAGCCACTACAGCTTCAGGCGGTGCAGGCGATACTAAACAACAAACTAATAAGCCACTAACAAATCTATTCGGTACTCCTACGACCAGTGCCGGATTTTTCTTGGGTACAACCCCCAAAACAACTGCGTCAGTAAGTTTTGGCTTAACAACAAGCGCAACTGCGACCCCCAGCTTTACTATAACTCGTTAGTACCACATCATCTACTGAACTTGTAAATAATATGCGAATTTTAGCTGCGACTTCGACAACTACGCCCCAGTTTAGTCTAGGAACAAGTGCTTCAACTACTACTACTGCAGCTACTTCATTTACTCCTATTTTGTCAACAGGGACATCCTTATCTTCAGGTTTATAAAAAAGAGTTTTTGTAAACATTATGCATGACTTAAATGTAGGTTTCTCTTTAGCAAGCAGTGCTTCAACTTCTGCACCTTTGAAATTAACCACAACCTTAACACCCTCAAGTACAGCAACAACATCTGCCCCCAGTTTAGGCCTAGGGGGTCTAACAACTGCCACACAGTATGTACTTTTATTTTAAATATTTTTAATTCATGTAAATGTAATTTTCAAGAGCGACACCTGTTACCACCACAACAGCAAGTGTCCCAACATCTGGTACTTTAACTTATGCTCAATTAGAGGATTGTATCAACAAGTGGACTATAGACTTGGAAGAACAAGGAAAATTCTTTATCAATCAAGCCAAACAGTTGAACGCTTGGGATAACCTACTGGTTTCAAATAGTGATAAGATATTAGCCTTAAATGAAACAGTTGAGCGTGTGAAAGAGCAACAGAAGCAACTAGATCAAGAACTTGACTTTGTATTGGCGCAACAGAATGAGTTAGATGAGTTGAGTCTTCCTTTAGAGAAGCAATTGACTGATATTCCAGTCACAGATCAGAATAGATTCCAAACGTAATTTTTTTAATTATAACAAAATTCGACACTTTAATGGGTGTTTTAGATACCAGTTGTCTGAAGTAATTGATTCCCAATTGAAGCAAATGTCAGAGGATTTGAAAGAAATTGTGGAACATTTAAATGAGTCCAACAAAAATGAAGATATCACCGATCCTGTTTGTTTTAACAAATTCTGTTTTTACATTTGTATCTTAACTGTTTTTTTAGGTAATACAAGTCAGTCGCATTTTAAATGCCCACATGAATTCACTCCAATGGATTGATAGAAACACTTCCCAAATTTGCTCCCATTTGGAACAGATCACACAGTTACATGAAACTTACAAGAAAAACGTTTTTATTAAAATTTCCTCTATACAATAACGCCTTGTACAAATTTCTCATATCAAACAATAAATCTAACAAGATATTGCACTTTAGTCGCTTTTGGAATGTCTGTGGCTTTTTGTTTCTTCCTCGGGGGAACTTCCTTCATTCCCCTTCACTGTAAACGTGACATAGTACCGCTTATTTTGATCCAGACGATCCGCAGGCAGTGATATGACTTGTTTATCGTTTCCGTGGCATAATTCAAGCGTCACGGCTTTTTTAGGATTGATTGTTGGCAGAAAGCCTGTGCCAGGTTTGCACTGTGTGGACGCAAACCCGATTTTAGGGATGGTATGATGATCCATTTTGGGTACTGCAAGAAATCAATTAGTGTGAATTGGCGGTGGTGCTAGAGGCTTACGGTAGGCGGCACAGGGAATCCCGGTGTAGGCATGGGTGGCGTGCATGCATCGATGTGTGCTTTGTGTACACAGAAGAGGATTGCCAGGCGATTCTGGAAGGCCTTTGAGATGATCAGCGCCGTTTCGTTGTAATTTTCTCAACGATAAGTACAGGAATTTTTCAAAACTCCGAAAAGTATAGTCTTCCGGGACGTAGCGGCCCGCTCCGACGGTCGAAGCACATGATTGGTGGTACGCATCGATAGCTCGTTTGACTAAGATAGCCTCATTGTGTTGTCCAGCCCGGATTTGTATCCGTTTCAAGTCTAAAAGGTGTTGAAAGATTTTGCGTTCCAGGTGGTATCTGCAAAACGCCTTGAGTGTAAGCAGTCAGCAATAGTTGTAAATTACCTCCGAATGTTAGACTGTATTGATTGTGTTACCGAAGTCATGTTTACCCCTCTCTCGCTCATGTTTTTCCATTTTGGTATTCTACTGCTTCTGGGACTTGGTTCAAAACCGGAGTCTATAACGTTGCTACTCTCATAATCACTTCCGGCGCTTCGAGCTTCACGTATTTTTGACTTTCTTTTGATTTTTTTCCGTTTGAAGGCACTTCTGCTATCTTCTTCTAAATCAGAAGCACTTGCTTTGTCATTGTCGCTATAAATTGACTCTAATAAAGGTGCCGACATGTTCGATTCACATCGTGGATGTTCCTTGGACCGATCTTTAGTTTCGTTAATGTTTGGTAAAGAAGGCACACGTGATTCCATACTAGATTTAATTTTTCTTTCCATCACATTTAAATATTTGTCACTTTTGGACAATTGGGATTTCCTTAAAGGTGTTGGAATTTTACTTCTTCTAATTTTATCATTTTGAATTTTCTTGTTGTTTTCTTCCGATCGAGAACGTTGTTTATTTTGAGTTTTTTGAGAGGATTTTTTCGGTTTTAAGTTTCTAATTTCTTCAACTTCTTTATCATTCAAAATGCGAAAACTCTTGTGTTCTTTTACAGTGGCGCTTGTTGAGCTAGTCGATTCTGTTTCAGAAGCACTGGAATATTCTTCTTGAGATGATTTACTACCCGAAATAGTTTTTTGGGGCATAATTTTTTTCTCTTTAGCAGATTTAGTCTTATTATCTCGATCACTTAATTGTTCTAAAGTTATATCATCGCTTTCATCAGCTGCCATTGTCTTATAAATAATTTCGTAAGCTTGTTCACCATTGTGTTGTTTTTCACGCCCACTCCTCTTCGTTTTTTGTTTTTTCAACTTTTTTTCTTTAACTTTTTCATCTAATTTTTCTTTCTCTACACTTTTGATAGAAACATTTTCTTCCACCTTTTCTGGTAGCTTATCGTCAAATATTTCTTCTCCATTATTTTTTTTTTCTTTGCCTATATTCTCTTCACATTCTTCTTTTTTACTTACACTTAGTGCATCCTCTTTTTTAGTAAGAACCTGTTCAGTTTCTTTTGAAATCTTGCTTTCACTTCCAATGTTTATTTCTTCTCTTAACTTGTCTTCAGGGACTTGTTTTTCTTCAATAAAACTTTTTTCTTCAGGTTTACCCAAACTTTCTTCTTTTTCTTCTGAAATGTCTAGTCCTTGCATCATTTCTATTTTTGTTATGTTATTTTTATCTTTCGACTCCCCTTCAATAGATTTCTCCTCTTTTACTTCTTGATCAACAGCCTCATCGACTTTTGTATCAAAATCTTTTTTCTGCTCTTCTAAAACTACATTTTCTTTTAATTCAGTATCAGTACTTTTTTCTTCTTCTTTTTCCACTACCTTTGCATTCTTCTCCAACTCTACTGTTTCATCGCATTCATGTACTTCGGTTTTACCATCAGTTACTTCAGTTATTTTAACTTCCTGATCATTTTCTTCAACTTGACTTTTTTCCATCTCTGAAGTCTGAACAATTTTAGACTCCTTTTCAACAATATCCGTTTGAGACACCTTATCGACTTCAGTCTTTTCAACGTCTTGTTTTGGAGGCTCATGCACAGCAGCTTCTACTACAAGACTTTTCTGTTCCTCCTGATCTTCACTCGTATTCGACATAAGCGACTGTTGATCAACCAATTTCTTTTGCTCAGTTTCATTTTTGAAATTATTTTTATTTTTAACTGCGTTTTCTTCAATTTTTTGCTTTGAAGTAGGTCTCTCAACTTTTTGTTTCTTTATTCGGGCACTGTCTTCTTTCCCGGCTGATTTTTCGACTCTTTCTTTAACTTTCGTCTGTTTTGCACTTTTTGGTCTTTTATCTTTATCAACACTAACTTCACTCATTTTTCCAGCAACTTCAGTTGAAAGCTTACTGGGAATCTGATCTAAATTCTCTTCATCGGGCGTTATATGAAATTCTTTAGTTTGGTGAATATTGATTTCTGTTTTTCCATTAATTGTAATCTCATTTTTATAATCAAATCGGTTTGATGGTGATCTTGTGGCATGTTTAGACAAATCTATACTTGTAGAACTGTCAGTTCTACCAGCTGTTTTAGCTCTTTGATTTTTTTCTCTAAGTTTCCGTTTAGCACTTCTACCAGTTTCAAGTTTACTTGTTATCAATTTATTATTTTCTAAATCACTTTCGGAAATTGAAGCTTTCTTCTTTTCGTATTTATATAAAAGCTTTTTTCTTTGAATTCTCCTACTTTGTTTTGTTGCTTCTCCATTTTCGCGCTCACTATCCGAACTTGTGTCTCCCCAAAAAGTAACATTATCTTTAATTTGAAAATTAACACCCGGTGTCGTGTGACCTTGTCTTATATCTCCAATTCTAGTAGCAGGTACCCCTCCATGTAACTGAAGATATTTAGCAGTGGATCTGAAACCTCGTTGGAGGGCACAATCCAAAGGTGTCATAAACGTATTTTTGGAAGTCCTTAAAATCGGATTGATTTGTGCCCCAGCGTCAAGTAGTATCTACAATGTTGAATAATTTATTTGATATTTCGTGTTAAAATTAATTAGATGGGTGCTAATAAAATTTTTATTTCATGCTTCAAGGAAAAGATAAAGGTTATTTAAATTAACCTTGAACCTTACATGCACACACAAAACAAGGGAACTATTTATAATAACCTTGCACATGTCAGCGTTGTCATTAAGGGCTGCTAAATGTAAAGGACATCTTCCATCGTTATTTCTCGCATTGACTTGACTAGGTCTCATATCGAGCAACCACCTAACTAAATCTCTCCTTCCGGAAGCTGCAGCTTCGTGTAAGGGAAGATCACCTCTTGCATTTCTCAACCACAGATTGGCCCCATGTGCGCCAATCATTTTGACAGTTTCGAATTGACCTTTGGCACAACCGCAGTGGGCTGGGGTCCGACCTTTGCGGTCTTGACGGTTGGGGTCAGCCCCATGGGCTAACAACAGGGCAGTAGCATCGGCATGTCCTATAATCGGTCAAATTCTAATTAAAAAAAAAACAGTTTTTGAGGGTAATATACCCAAAGTGACCGCGTAGTGAAGAGCAGTACATCCATTACTATCTATTACATCTGGAGTAGCCCCACAAAGAGTTAATAGACTGTCGATACAATCCGTGTGCCCCCTTGAGGCAGCGCAATGAAGAGCAGTCAAACCGTCTTTGTCGGAGGCTTCGACGTTAGCCCCTGCGCGAACCAAGGCCAGAACTGCTTTTGCAGACCCGGCACTGGCGGCCCACAGGAGGGGTTGTCGACCGTCGTCGTCTTCGACGGAAACGACGATGTCGCTGTGCGTTAGAAGAGTTTGAAGGACTTGGAAGCCGAGGTTGGAATCCTTGTCCTGAAGTAGAAAGTTGAGTGGTTGTAGTTTGACGAGTGGGTACTTACGCCTCCGCACATTTGAGCGGCGTAGTGGAGAGGGTAGCCGCCGTGGACGTCGGGGGTGGAAGCGGGGGCTCCTGCGGCCAAGACAGCTCGAAGGGCTGATGTTTCCCCACATACTATAAAATAATAACTTTTTACTTTTTTTCTTAAAATTTGGCGGATGCGCCGGTCAATTTTTTTTTTAAATAAAAAGTCATTTTTATTTTGTTTATTATTATAAAAATTATCGTGCAGATGAAGCGTGAAAGTAAAACTCCCAGATTCATGCATTTTTAAGTAAAACTTTGCATACTTTCAAGTCACGCGTTTTCACTACATAATGAATCGATTCTTAGCAAAGCTCGAAATTTGTAGTTCACATAAGTTGACTCACTAAGCTATTGACCTATTTCACGTGTGGTGAAACATTGAGAGAAGAACAAAAGTAACTTATTTGCTATAAATCTTGTTACAACATTATTGGAAAGTAAAAGCATGCTCGTCAAAAGCTCTGTCTTGTGGTTTATTTAAATAGAAATTAGATTTCTGAAAGATAATCGATTGGTGCAACCTTGGTAAAACTGACCGCAATGACGTCACTTCTTTGGCTGAATCGATTAAATGTCTAATAATGCAGTTTGACGTAACTTTTTCAAGTTTTTACCCCTCTTAAAAATTGTTATTAACTTTGCAATCTTTAATATCTCTTGAATAATTTATTATTCCTGCAACCTTAACCCGATGGTGGGTGGTAAATAATCGTGAAAATATGTTAATCTAATCAGTCAGTTGACCATCAAGCACGCAATAACTAGAAGAACGCAATCTTTGACTATATCGCATCTTATCAATCGAGGTCACTGGGATAGGAAAATAAACCGGGCCGGACTTTGTGTAACGCATCTGGGCTATTCTTATCCTTTGTCACCTAAATGTTTATTTCTTATTTTTACCATGCTTTTGAACGAAGAAAACAGTTACTAAATATGTATTTTCATATAATGGAAAAAAATGTTTATGGTAAACCGTAGAAATAGCTTTTCAATGCTTGTTTTGTGTAGTTATATATTATTCTGAAAATAATTCATGGAACAAATCAATAAATGCATGAACTTTGCTATAAATAGGGGTTGTTGAAGTATTTTTTTATAGTACTCTTAAATTATAAATAAAACAAACAAAACAAAATACAAAGTTATAATAAATACAGTCCGAGTCATTTCTGAAATTTTCTTAAATGCAACCAAAAATATTAATTTTAGCTTTCACTAGATCTGTAATTTTTAATTAATTAATTAATCTGAGTTTTGTCTTGACAGTTTTGCTAAAACTTTATTATTATATAACGTTCAAAGATTTCTTTTACCGGGTTGAAGCATATTATCTCCAAAATAAAATGCATTTTAATCAATTTTTACGTTAGTTATCTTCACGTTGTTATTTTCTTACATTCATTTTGAGGTTTCCAGTAAAAAAGCAATTTTGATTCAAATTATTATTAAAATCAAATACAGTATCAGGTGGTAAGTGTAATTGTATAATGTAGCTAAGAAAATTTCTGAAATACAACATAACTGAATCACTCTGTATGCAGGGTGTGTCAGAACTCGCGCCTCGGAGAATGATTTCAAGTAAGATAAGATACCAGAAACATGGAAAATATTTTTTTAAAATTCTATCTGTCAAAAATTTTTGACATTTGACATTTTTTATGTCTCTTTAATGATACAGCTGATGATCTTGTATATGTATTTTATAATTATTTACTGAAGGTACAAAAATATTGCTAATAAATTTCACAAATCACATTAAACAGAGTTACAATTTAGGATACAGCTCCTTTGTTTCCTCTTCTAAAAGTCTGTAGCCACAAAAACTAAGAAAATTATTTTTCCAATAGAAGTAAATAGAGTCAAAGTGCAAAATTTAAACTCTCATAACTTTGAAATTTTTATAGATAAAACATTTTTTCCATGTTCCTAGTATCTTACCTTATATGGCATTTTTCTCTGGGGCGCGAGTTCTGGCGCACCCTGTATATTAATTTGAAATTTTTTGTCCGTGCCGTTTAAAAATAAATTTAAAAAAAGCTCTATTTTTGGCCATTTTATATTTTTATAACAAAACTGTACGGAAGAATTTTTTGATTTATTTTTGGTGTATTGTAGATTACCCACTTATGTTACTGTATTTTTTTATGCAATTTAAATAATGTGTTTTTTCATAAAAAAAAACTATTGAGTTTTGCAATCCGTTACTTTGTAACGGATTGCAAAACTCAATAGTATGAGTATTTGTACTCAAAATGAGATAAAAACTCTGTGTTACTATGTGTGTGAGGTACTTTTTTAATTCAGGAACAACATCCAATTGTAAAAAAAAAACAATTTCTTTACTGTATTTCTTAAAAATTCAATTTTTCTTTTTTTCGTTTGAAAACTTGTTTGAACGGCTTTCCTTTTGTACACAGACAACAATATCTTCTGGTGGTACATTTTGGAACTGGCTAGAGACATGCCATCTACGGAACGGTAGAGTAAATAGTTTGAAAACTGAAATTTTGTAATTTTCTGTAAAAAGACTAAAAATTGAAAAAATTTCAAATAAAAGGAATAATATTTTTTCATAAATTATGTAATATATTTTTTGTTTGTTCGGATTCATTTTATTATAACTATCATGGTGTTTTTAGTCATCGAAATTAAAAGAAACAAAGCAAAATTAATTATGTGAAAATTGACAAAAATGCTAATACCAAGAATTAGTTTCGCACTTTCTAATTGATATACTATTATTAAATTTAATTTTTAATATTAGTAAAATGTATGTGACAAAATGGATTTACATTTGCATAAGATAGGATGCATACTGTCAATATTTTGAAACGGGAAAAAAGTAATTTTGTTAAAAATTCAATTCAATTTTTAGTCTTTTTACAGAAAATTACAAAATTTCAGTTTTCAAACTATTTACTCTACCGTTCCGTAGATGGCATGTCTCTAGCCAGTTCCAAAATGTACCACCAGAAGATATTGTTGTCTCTGTACAAAAGGAAAGCCGTTGAAACAAGTTTTCAAACGAAAAAAAGAAAAATTGAATTTTTAAGAAATACAGTAAAGAAATTGTTTTTTTTTACAATTGGATGTTGTTCCTGAATTAAAAAAGTACCTCACACACATAGTAACACAGAGTTTTTATCTCATTTTGAGTATTTGTAACGGATTGCAAAACTCAATAGTTTTTTTTTATGAAAAAACACATTATTTAAATTGCATAAAAAAAATACAGTAACATAAGTGGGTAATCTACAATACACCAAAAATAAATCAAAAAATTCTTCCGTACAGTTTTGTTATAAAAATATAAAATGGCCAAAAATAGAGCTTTTTTTAAATTTATTTTTAAACGGCACGGACAAAAAATTTCAAATTAATATACAGGATGCGCCAGAACTCGCGCCCCAGAGAAAAATGCCATACATGGAAAAAATGTTTTATCTATAAAAATTTCAAAGTTATGAGAGTTTAAAGTTTGCACTTTGACTCTATTTATTTCTGTTGGAAAAATAATTTTCCAAGTTTTTTTGCTATAGGCTATTAAAAGAGGAGTTACATAAATTGTAACTAGCAAAATTTTTGTCCCTTTATTAAGTAATTGTAAAAAAACATATACAAGATCATCAGTATCATTAAATAGATATAAAAAAAAAGTCAAATGTCAAAAAATAAATGTCAAATTTTTTTGTCAGATAGAATTTTTTAAACATTTTTTTCATGTTCCTGTTATCTAACCTTACTTAAAATTTTCTCTGGGGCGCGAGTTCTGGCGCAGCCTGTATATTGCGCCATCAACAGTTATGATAATTGTTTCAGAATTTTTAAATAACGATTTATTTTTTTATTCAGTATAGTTCAACCTTAATATTTTATCAATAACAGTTTCCAAAAACTGCGAATATTTTAGTTTTAGTTTTAAAAAACTAGCGTTTACATCAAAAATCCTGTTGACGTGAACATTTTACCAAATCATTATTTAAATATGGCACTACATCATGCCGCTTTATAATTGAAACAGGTATTTTAAAAACAACCCACGTAATGCAGTATAAACTTTTAAAAATAAAATAAATTAGTGTAGGAAGGTCAGTTTTGCAGCAGTGTGGCAATATCATACTAATATAAAATAATAATATTCATGCGTTTATTTCTGTCCCTTATTACGTTAGTCTTTCGCATGCTTTGCCATCAAGATAGACACGCTTCTGAAAAACTAATTACAAAACCAATTTTTCACAAAATCTTCATTTTTCTACGATTACCATCTTCAAACCTTGACATTTGTAGTTTTACAAAATCATCTACCAAAAATAGAAATTGTGTAACCGGCGCCTCCACCATTTCAATTTCTAAAAAAAGTAGGTACCTGTTGCCCAGTGCACGACTGTGTGTTTTTCATTATCCATCGCATTCACATCGGCCTTATTGGCTAGAAGAAAAGTCACCAGAGGCATATTCCCAGCAATCACGGCCAAATGTAACGGCGTAAACCCGTCTTCATCGTGGCTCTCGACCAAATCCGGTGCTGCCATAACAATCAAATCGGCAGCTTGGGCAGCACAAATGTTATCACTGGTACTGCAGTAATGTAGAGGCGTTTTTCCGGTACGATCTCGAGTCAGCAAAGTTTCAGGCTGAAAAGAATATTAATAATGGATAACGGACACAAGGGTGAAAAGTTAAGTTTCTACCTTGATCTATAAGAAAATGTTAAATTGTTAACCGTAAATAATTTATACAACGAGGTATTGGATTTTTTGGGCATTGCTTTAAGGATTAAAAATTAACTAGAACGTAAGGATTGTCTTGAGTAAACAAACAGTTTGCTTACGTGACGCCGGCTGTTGCTATGACAGTGTGTAATCATTACTTTAACCAGAAGTGGAATGCACTTTTATTTAGGAATAATATTTTTAAATTCTGTAGCATCATTATTGATTGCGTATTGATAAAGGAAATGATCATTTAAGATTGATTTTGATCAAGTTGATATTTGCTAATAAGTGTTGAAATATTTCTTTGTATAGTACCAACTATTATTATTAGAAACATCACTATAATCCACTTAAATTAAAAAAAAAAAATATATTTTGTGAATGTTGAGTGAAATGTGACCTTGAAATTTAGTTTTTTAATATGAATAAAACAATATGGAAATTGTATTTCGTGTTAATAAATAATTAATTTTACAACTTTAGTGATAGCAACAATACATTAGAAAAATGAAAATAATTTAAACTCCATTCCAAAATAATGACCATAAAAGCAATAAAATAAATCGAACTCAATTCCTCAACATGCAAGACTTTTCTTCCAAAATTCAGTTCGACTTGTTCTTTATGACAGTCATGGGTGTTTTTGATAAAACACCAATTTATCTAACACTAATTTTTAAAGTGACCGGAGTTTACCATAACTTCGGTAAAAATAACTTCTTTTCAAAAGCAATGTCAGTTCTATGGTGTCTCCCTTTCTATTCATATTTTATCTATCTTTGCATTGATTTTAATTTATTGACACACAAATCGTCCGATATTTATGTCTACATTGAATTTTGTAAGTCTTTGTCTACTATTATTTTCACTGCGATATCGTTTCTTGTGTTTACTGGGAGAAGAAACCGAATCGCAGCACTACTAAATAAAGTAAAAAAGTTGCATTTGGATAATGTAATTTCAGGAAGCACTAAACGATTTAATTGGCCTAAAACAGTACTCATTGGGTCAATTGTCGTAAATATTGCACTTATCCCTTTCAGAAAAGGTGCAAAAATTAATTATACAATCTATATTTGGTTTCCAGCATTGATTAGTTCTTCTGAAGTTATGTACTTGAATGACATATTAAAATATTTTAGTGAAAAGTTTGATTCGATCAACCAAGACTTTTTAACTTTACTAAATGCTGATTTGTCGTCATTATTTCCTTTAACTAAATCAGATAAATTGAAATTGTACGAAGAAGAGTACACTAATTACAAAATGCAACACATTCAAGACTTATCTCTTATACATTACAAACTAGTACATCGAGTTTCGAAATTTAGTGATATTTTTGGAATCACCATAATTTTGTCACTGATTCTATGGTTTGAAAACATCATCGAAACATTTTATTTTTTCATTTATATGCTGATGAATGGAAGTGATAATTTTATTTACGAAAGCACTATCCATGGGTGCTACGTAGTGTTTGCAATCTCATGGTTGTTTATCTTAATTTTCAGTTTCAACACAGTTCAAAATAAGGTAAGTGGAAAATTTACATTTTTGTTGTGTGAAAATAATTTCAGGCCAACTCAACTGTAATTTATGTACATGATATTTGGAACAAGTACTTGTTGAGTGGGAAAATGAATGTAAAGACTCAACATCTTTCTTTTATTTCTGCGCGACTACTCAGTATGAAATTGGAATTCACTGCAATGAATTTTTTTAAACTGGACTGGACTTTTTGCCACATGGTTAGATAAGTTAATTAGGATTTAAATTTTTCTATTTAAAAAATTTTTAGCTGGTTGCTGCGGTTGCTACTTATGTTGTTATTCTTGTCCAGTTTCGCATTTAATTCATTCCTAAGTAAGGCAGACATTTACAATTTATATAAAGTGTGTACAATTTTTGTCACATTAAAAAAATTGTATACTCACAAAAGGAATAAATCAATAACAAACATCTAGTAAAAAGTTAGAAAATGTGATGTGAAACATTAATCAATTTTTTTACTAGATATTTTTATAACAAACACTAAAGCACATTAATTATTTGAGATTTACTTATGAAGGCTAGTTGCTTACTCTCTTGATCGTAAATGTTAAACTTTTTAGAAATATAAATGATAATAAAAATTGATCTCTAATTTTTATAATGATGTATAGAAAATGTCTTTAATCAATTAAACTTTTAGTTTAATTAAAATTATTTTGAATTAAAGTAAAAAGTATTCTTCCACATAAAAAATTGAAATAACATGTCAACCATTGTAAACTGACAGGAAAAATTTGTTTTCGTGTTTATACATATATTAATACTCATCGTAAATGTATTAACAAGTGTATTAATTACTTTATTTTTGCTGCATTCACATGTACTTCGATTTATTTTAATTTACAGAAATTTTAAATTATAAATATTCACTAATAACGCAGAAAAATGAAGATTAAATAGATAAACGAGTAGATA